TTGTGTGCTGTGAGGCTGGAAGGTTATACGAAAGTAAGGAGTAGTAGGCCAGATAGGCGGTGTCTATTTGTTGTCTCTGCCTATGCACCGACGGATCGCAGCCCGGATGCAAATAAGGATGAGTTTTACCACCAACTGGGCGATCTCCTAAAACAGGCGGTTCGGAAGGATATCGTAGCGCTAGCTGGGGACTTGAATGCCCAGGTTGGTCGTCTAAGCTCAGAGGAAAATCGTCTAGGTGGTCAATGGGGCGTACATGGTCGCAGGTCAAATAATGGTGACCGTCTTCTGCAGCTTTGGGCGGATCGCAACCTATTTATAGCCAGCACCAACTTCTGGTACAGCCATCGCCGTAGCGCTACCTGGCGTCCTCCCTCTGCGAAGCAAGCTTGGACTCAGATTGATCATGTTGCTGTCAGTTTCCGGTCGCGAGGATGCATACAAGACTGTCGCTCCTTCTAGAGCACATGCATAGACTCCGATCATGCGTTAGTATGTGCCAAGTTTGTCTTGGTATTTCTGTCTGGATTCAACATAGAACTTGGCACCGAAGTGCAGCACTTCGAGTTGCCACGTTCCAAATAGCACACAGAAGTAGACAAGAAGATGAGTGAAGAGAATCAATACAGTCTGACAAGTATAAGAGTGAAACAGAATGGGTAATGGTAGAAAGGAATATGAAAGATTACAGAGACCGAATACATCTGCGCCATTGACAACGATTTTGAGCCATGTCACCTATTGTCTCCAGCCATTGATTTCTAGAGTCCCGAGGGCCCCAACCTGGGAGTCTGCATCTCCTAACCTGACTCAGTTTAACTGTCAAGGATTTCATGGATTGATGAGGCCATGTTTTTGTTTGGCCACCACTGGCTCTTTTCCAACCTGAACCTATGTCAGCTAGCAATGCCCGTCGGGGGAGGCGGTGGTTAGGCATGCGCACCACGTGACCTAGCCATCTTAGTCTATGTAACTTTATAGCCTCGTCGATTGATTTTCCCTGTTTGCCCAACACTCTACGCCTAACGTCAACATTACTTACCTTATTATACCACCTAACGTGAGAAAGAGATCGCAGACATCTATGATCGAAAGCAGTCAACCTTTTCATGTCTTCAACGCGTATTGACCATGTTTCAGAGCCATAGAGAAGGACGGAGCGAACTGATGAGCAGTACACACGTCCCTTGGTTGATAACCGGATGTCACGCCTACGCCAGAGATGGTGTAAGTCAGCGAAAGCATCTCGAGCTTTTCGGATCCGTGCTGAGATTTCATCGCCAATCAGTCCGTTGGTGCTAATACAACTTCCCAAGTAGGTGAAGTGGTCAACATGTTCTATCACTTCACTCCCTATCACTAAGCTAGGAGTTGACGTAGTCCAGTCCTGTAGCAGCATCTTACATTTTTCAGGGGCGAATCGCATGCCAAACATACGAAGATTGCTGCTCAAGGTGTTCAGAAGACTCTGCATTTTGTCAGAATCCTCCCCTAACAGGACTATGTCATCTGCATATTCTAAGTCCATTAGACTATTCCCTGGTAACAAGTCGATTGCTAAGTCGTTACGTTCAGTTAAGGATACTTCCATCAGGATATCTATGATGAAGTTAAACAGAAATGGGGAAAGTGAACATCCCTGTCGGACACCACTGGTTGTTACCAATTCAGATGACAATTCCCCATAAGCCCTTACACGACTACGTGAGTTTGAATAGAGTGCCTTGATTAGTGCAATGTACTTTCTTGGCACTCCCTTCACAGTCAAACATTGCCATAGTACCTTTCTATCCACGGAGTCGAAGGCCGCCTTCAAGTCGAGAAATATGGCAATTGTTGGACGCCAAAGAGTGTGTCTATGTTCTAGAATCTGTCGGAGAGTGAAGATATGATCTATGCGTCTTGGTATTTGGTGGGGTTTATAAAAAGCCTCGTCTAAATGTTGATGTGGGCAAAGTTGTACCACCTGCAACTTCTTTGAAATATCAGAATGAGCGACAATCAATGCTTGCCAGCAACCCCCTAAGTAGTATAGATGAACATTGGCGTCATCTGCAAGGTGCCATGCTAATAGTGAGTGTCGCCGCTTGTGGCTTGAAAGAATGCTCCGCTAAAAACCACTGGGTTTCTGCGAGTTCCTTGCAACTCCTGGATGAACACCGGTCCATTCCGACTGGCAGCGAATACAACAATAAGCGAAAGGCGCTTACGCACAAGATTAGACAGTGTTTACGTAAGGACCGCGAAGCCTGGTGGTCAGAACGTGCGTGTGAGATGGAGTCAGTTGCTGCATCGGGCAACAGTAGGAAGCTGTTCCAACTCATCCGAGCCACCGGCAGCAAGAAACAAGGTGTCAGCGAGACGGTCTGTGAGGCAGATAGCACGCCAATTACCAGCTGGAAAAGACTCCGGGAACGCTGGGCAGAACACTTCGGGAAATAGTTTAGCCGGCCACCAGCTTCAGTATCTGCTGTCATTAGCCCGAGTGCTCCTTGGTCGGTTAGTATCGACCCACCCACAGAAGCGGAGGTCCGTAAGGAACTCCAAGTGTTGAAACGCCATAAGGCGCCCGGCCCAGACAAATTACCCCCGGCTCTTTTTAAAGATGGTGGCGAGACTCTCACAATGGCTCTAATTGGGTTGTTCAGAAAGGTATGGGAAACTGAGAATGTACCATCAATGTGGAACGAAGCCATTATCGTCCCCGTCTTTAAAAAAGGTCGAGTAATGCATCTGGCAGTTATAGAGGTATCAGTCTGCTGCCAGTTGCGTCTAAAATATTGGCTGCTGTTTTGGTTCGCACGCTGTGTAAAATACGTGAAGGATTGATTCGCGAAGAGCAGGCTGGGTTTCGTTCAGGTCGTGGATGCATTGATCATGTGTTCACCCTTCCTCAATTGTTGGAACACCGCCACACGTATTGCAGGCCAAGGGTCGTTGTGTTTCTTGATATTAGGGCTGCCTTCGATTCGTTGGACAGAACTGTGCTCTGGAACTGTCTGTTAGAGAGCGGTGTACCTGAGAAATTTGTTAACATCTTGAAAGCCCTATACAGAAATACATCGGGTAGAGTGAGGGCATACAACCAACTATCATCACTGTTCCCAACCAACAGTGGGGTTAGACAGGGTTGCTCGATCTCTCCATTTCTCTTTAATTTCGCCATCGTTGACATTCTGGAGTCAGCTCTGAAGGATGTGCATGAAGGTGGTGTATATCTGCTACTTTTTGACCTCGAGTATGCAGACGATATCGTCTTACTGTGCGATACCATGCAGGCTGCCCAAATCGCACTTAATCAGTTGGCGATCAGTGTCTGTAAGTATGGTATGTGCTTTGCGCCGTCCAAGTGCAATGTACTGTAACAAGATTGGCAGAAACCTGTACTTGCACTCACTCTTGCGAGTGAACCGCTTGAAGTTGTTGATAAGTTTGTGTACCTGGGTAGTTGTGTGAGTGCTGGCGGAGGGAGGGGTGACGGATGAGATTTCAAACCGTATAATGAAGGCTAGGGCGGCATACATCAACTTGAGCCACCTCTTGCGCCGTCGTAACGCTAGCCTGGCTGTCAAAGGTTGGGTATGCAATGCTTCGGTGTGGGCTGTTTTGCTCTACGCTTGTGAAACCTGGCCTCTCCGAACTGAGGATGCGAGGTAACTCTGCGTGTTCGATCATCGCTGTTTCCGCAGAATCGCTTGCATTCGATGGCATCATGGCGTGAGTAATTCTGAGGTTCGGCGGCGTGTGTTTGAACACAGTGGAGATCACCATTCATTGAGTTTCGTCATCTGGAAACAGCGGCTCCGGTGGCTTGTACATGTGCTGCGAACGTCATCCCAGAGGCTTCCGTATAGGTCTCTGTTCGCTAGCCAGCCCTGGGGCGGGATAGAAAAGGCGGAAGGGTGGTAAGTTCATGACGTGTCGTCGTGGGATGAAGGATTTTATACTAGATTAGGATCGGTTGGTGTGTCACGACTCCCTGGTTGGGTTCCTCGAGATAGCTCGAAACGTCATCGGATATGGCCAAGAATCGTAATCAATGGCGAACGTGTTGCAATTTCCTTCTCTCTTCCCTTCCCGATGATAGTTAACGAATACTGCTTGAACTGGTTAAGCATGACTGTTTTCCTTCCAGATGAAGTTCTTTATCCGTTCTCTACTTATATATATATTTTTCTTTTGACCTATATTGTTTTATTATTATTGTGTGGCGCATCCTTCTTGGTGCCATATTGTACCAAGTTCTTATGCGTTTATATATATATATATATATATATATATATATTATGTAGTTGGCCATGGCAAAGAAATGGGGTTGTACAAATTTATTTCGAACACACACAGATTTGTCTTGTTCAGATGAAATCTTTGTGTTCAAAAACAGTTTATACAGCCGCTTTCTTTGCCATGACCAACTTCGTAAGGTGTATTAAGTTTTTCAAAACGAGTTTTTCCCCTCCTCTTGTAACTTCAAAACTTGGATATCTTGTTACTAATATCTGTTATAGTTAATTGTTTTGATGACTTTTAACCTTTAATTTTCACCCCCTTTCCTATACCTTAAACTGATTAATAAAAATAACCACATGATTAGTACAATTTTGAAGTAGAGAAAACTAAATATTAGTATAGAGCGGATGATGAGGAGGAACTAACTAAAAAGGAATGCATACTTCTTCACTCAGTTTGTTGGTTTATTCTAAATACGTAGACAGGAATTAGGAAATTCTCCAGAATACATCAGACTGGGATCTAATGTGTTCAAGTCGAGTGTTGTATACAGCGATTTACACCTCTAGAGATATAAATACAGACATGTAATTAGAGATAATTAGTTTCATGTGGTGAGTTTTCTATCAGTCGCCATCATCGTCTGTTGTTGGTGTGTGTGTGTGTACGAACTTGTGTGCATGTTATTTTGTTATATTGCTCAAATTGTTTTTGCTTTTTCTTATCTATGGTCAAATATTATTAATTGGATTTCATTTCATTTGTTTTAGGCTATTCGATCACGTTTACTATCATTTATAGTTCCCAAAGCTCAAATTGTTATCAATCCATATCCTTTGAATAATCCTTCGGCGTAAGTATACAATTAATAAATTGACTTTATCCCCCTTTATGAATTTGAATAAAGCAAGAACAACAGTGATTTGTGCAGAATTAAATGGTATCATCATTTATTTTTTCGGTTTCTCATCAGCTACTTACAACCCGAAGACATTATTAGGTTTATGTACAGAAACAGTTTTAATATACTTTCATAGAATTCATTTTTAGACAAAAATCAATCAATATATGCATACAGTTGTACTACCACTAGTAGTAGTAATAGTAATAATAATAAGTACTTTATCTCAAACAATAATGATGATACACAATGGAAACTTTCGGCGTTACGTAATCCGATGAAAGAGAAAATGAAAACACCCAGTTACCACGGATTACGTAACGCTGAAAGTTTCCATTATGTATGATTATTTTTGTTGTTTGGGATAAAGTATTTATTATTATTATTATTATTATTAACATTAGCATTGTATACGTATATCGATTGACTTAGTTTTTGTTTAAGAATGAACTCTGTGTAAGTATATTAAAATTATTTCTGTAAATAAACCCAAATATTATCTTTGGGCTGTAAGCAGCTAATGAGAAGCCAGCGTAATAAGCAATGATAGTACTATTTTATTCTGCAAAAACCACTTGTTGTTCTTGCCTTATTCAAATTGCTTTTAACAATTTGAAAGCGAAAATGAACTATCTGAAATGTTGTTTTTTCACGTGCAACTAGTATGTTTTATTGTTGCTATGTAGCAGTGTTTTAATTAGGCTGGGGAATTGAATGACAATAAACTTATTTTCTTTTATCTTAACTATGGTCAAGGTTATGATTGATTGGAATGTAGACATTTTTGCAAAAATAAATAAATAATTCCAACGTTTCCTTCCGTTGACTGGTTCGAAGTTACTCGCTTTTCAAAATTTATGAAGTCATAAGTTATGTGAATTGTCTATTTCCGTAAATTTGAGCAAACTAAGTTTTGTTATGGTTGAAATTATGAAGAAAACCAATACGCATTTGGATGCTTTTAAGACGGAACGATTGAACAAGTAATATTCGTTGTAATAACTATTTCGATTAAAATCTTGACAAAACCCTTTGACCGAGTACAAAGTTTAGAAGTTCAGTTTCCAAACTCTTGGCATATAGGTGAAGTACAGGACTACAATTTGGAGAAAAACTTCTGTTTCACTGGCATTAACGTGTTGTTGGTCAAAGGTTAGACACCATTCTGGCAACCGAAATGTTACTGAGTCAAGGCGTATTGTGATCCATGTTCCAACTAACGTTTTTAATCTCACTACATTGATATGCGTCACTCAGAATAATTTCTGTATCAGTTCACTTCACTTTAATATCATTACATAAAGTTTTGTTCGTAAGTGGTTCGATTTCCGGATGACGCACTCATAAATCTCTCCGTGTTCACTGGCTAATAGTAAACCCTGCAATGGAGTAAAGTCGGTGGACGTGAGATTAGGAACTCAAATGCGTCAGAATTCAAATAGCAAGACCGTTACACTAGAATTTCAAAGCTTCAAGCTTTATGTCCCACTCGGAGGGCAAAGGAATGAAAAAAAAACACTCACTTGGGATAATAACTGAATAGTCTGTATGTGCACTCCCACCAATGTGTTACACTAAAAGTAATACATACAGTAAAATATTCAGTATGGAGGTTTACTATAGTAGGACATAATTTCATCTATGGTCACAATCTGGCAGTCTTAAGAAGATAGAACAAGTTAATTAAACAGTCTTTTTTTAACGAAAGATGTACTTCCCTCTGTTTTGCGTCAGTCAGAAAAATAGCTGTTTTATTCGTATAACGGTATTTATGTGAATATATACCAACTGAAGCGTTTTAAACATGTGATAAGCACTTCAGTCCTCTGTTTAATGCAACTTCTTCAATAGGAACCTTCAGGGAAGATAGACACATTAAACGTTGAGTAAAATTGCGGTGCCATAAACCTGTATATCACATTGAATAACTGTTTGATAATAAAAATATTTAAAAAAAACTTGCCAGTGCATTTTTCCCTATTCTCCATGTTGGTGTAATTTCATCCTATCTAACTTTAGCATAACTTCCAGTAGTTCATTTCATCTATCTCAAGCACTTTGCTCTATGTGTTGACTACCTCTCACTTCGTGTCCTTTTGGAAGTGTGGGGGCGGTTGTTACTTCCTGGCTGTCCACAACGTGGCAGTTGATTAATTCTTCGGGTACCTGAAACAGAGAGAGGGTTAGTGTTGCGTGACCGCAGACCCCAGGGGACAACTACTTGAGGCCGGTCACACACAGCCTGTATGAACTGGTTTCTGGGATTGGTTCCGTATTAGTAAACTTACCGCTGGTTACGGACCGCCGTAGAGTAAGTCGGGTTGTACAATCGTTGATGTCGACCTTTTCTAATTCCCTCTTTCCAGAGTGGAGGAACAGCGTGGCTGGCATACCTGGTCATCTGAGGGAAACATCTTACTACTGTTACATCCCTGTTCCACAGTAGTACGACTTCGCTCACAGACACCCAGCATAGTGTAAAAACATCTTACACTATTGTGGTAACTGCTTTTAGTCTAATCGCTATCCTAACAACCTTCCCGGCATGGTAGGACCTGCAGGAACATTGGTTCCAGCCAGTGTAGCTTGTTGGGTCATTGCGATGTGCAAGCGCGACCACTAAGTCAGGGTAGCAGCTATCGGTCGGGACCTCTCACTGAATGCTTTGTAGTGCAGAAACTCCTAACAATTAGTGTGTATCAGGTACATTCATATTGTTGCATTCTGGTGGCTAGCTGATGTACTTTCATGAAATTATTTTGCAGATTCCGTTTGTTACCACAGAAGACTTTTCATAATTACAATAACTCCAAGATTACTGTCCAACTGAATGATGTGGAAATGCATGTTTTCGAAAAATCTCTCATCTACCATGCTGATAAATGCCATCAGATAGAAAATGTAGGAAAAATTACGTGTCTCACAGTCTGATTACAACATCTAGTTATCGTGTGTTGTGTGCTGTTTGCCTATGCACTTTGCGTAAGCCTTACGCGCACACTTAAAAAAGAAATAAGATTGTCTATTGGATTTTCGTGTCGTATTTAACTTTTTGCACTTTTCTTCTTTGCAGATGGACTATGAAATTGTTTCTGCAACCATTATACAACATGAAGGTGTTATACATAGCCATTACACTACTATGTATCTGTATACTACTCTTAATCATCATTGGTATTCTTCAATGGTTCGAGTTTCGTGAAGATCGGTTAGAAAAGCAGAAAGAATCACAACGTTTTCATTTTGACGCAATGTGAATTAAAAAACAAAAACAAACGATAACACATAAATACGTTAAGAAGACAAAGAAAACACCTTGAGTGTAGATCATATACATCGCTGAAGTAAAATAGTACAATTCATTGACTCTATTGTATTCAAATATATATCATCTGTCTATCTGATTTACACTTTCCTGAACGTCGTGTTTGCATTCTCCAGGAGTGTTATAAAGAGGCTGTGATCCACTCTGACTTTCTTTTCTGCAAATCGATGTTTGTGGTCATATCATGAGATTTCACTTTTTTTTTAAAAAAATTTTATTTTACTAATTGTTCTTTCTGCACACACAGCTGTTTTTGTTATTGTTGTTGTCCTCGAAGCTAACCAAAAATCTCATGACATTGTGTGTATGTTTGGTTCTTTTCTGGTTTATAACCTCATTTTCTGTTCCGTTGTCATTGACACTTATTGTGTTTTACTGCTTTAATTTTGAAGTCTTCATTGACATCATTTAGTATAGACATTGTCGAGTGTTTGGTGCAGTACTGTATGAATTTTTTAATCCATTTTATTTTTAATTGTGATTGACAATTTATTTGTTGTTTTATTTCAATCGGCCAGAGGTTTTTCAAATATTTTGTTTAAAATGTTAAATAGAAAACTGGATGTCATGCGTTCTTTGAATACTGCCTAAATGATGGTGTAAAATGCTCCAACCCGTTTCGCTGATCTTTTTGAAGAGTCCATGCAACTTATCCTTTAAATATGAGTAACAACACTTCTTAAACTCCCAGATTAACTAGTATAATACCATCGCCTTCACGGACTGCTACAATATTGTTTGTAAGCCTCAGTTAATCAAAGATTATCAGATGACGGGAAAAACCTTCGTAAATACATTCATGATAAATTGGAGTCACAGCGTGACCTACCTTGAAGGATGCCATTTGACTCAAACATTTCACAAGTCAATTCATCATCATGACCATTAATACAACTACAGGTGTCAGGATGTGGCACCATCAGTAGAGTGATTTATTTTCTAAACACCTTCCAGTTAAGATACACTGTTATAAAGTATCTAAAAGAAGGAAGTTGTATGCCTCCTTCGGGTGAAAAATGTCTAAATTTTTATGTCAGTATGTGTTATACTCTACTGACTTATCTCTCCAGGTTTAGTTAAACATTAGAAAACTACAAACTCTAGAATTTTTAAAGGTGTATGAGTGAAACTGTTTCAGTAATATTAACGGTTGAAATTAACTAGACAAAGTAGCATCTTTTTCTCACACCAGTTAAAGTTCTAGTTATTTGAGTGCATGTTCTTAGATCACCATCCTCGATCACAAAATGATTGGACAGTCGTTCTGTCTTCAAAATGTCTAAATGAGAATTTTTACTATATTCTCAGTTATCTCTAGACCTCTCTATGACTGCATTATGTGTCTAACCTCTATAGCGTTCCTCAAGATACTTCGCACATCTTCTCAACTGCCGTCTTCACTACTTAATTTACTGCGAAGTAGTCTCGTTTAGCGTATGATGTACTTCTCTGGCTTAGACACTTAATTTCCTAAACGATAGGCTACAGACTGGAATCCCAGTCAGCCCCTACTTCAGCGTGGATGGCCGGTTACCATCATCAATCATCATACAATTTATTATCGTTCATAGCCTGGTCCATGAAGAATTTGATCTGGATAACTGAGTTCTGAAGAACCAACCTAAGACTAACGCCAACTCACTCTACTCTGACACCAGTAGTATTTAGTCAAGTAGATAAAACATTGCATAAAGCAACAGACAAAGTCGTGACAAAAAATAATGTAGTTTAAGTTTTAAATTTTTTAATACATTTAAAATAGCAGAATAATATAATTTCGTTATTTCTCATTGGCATAAATAAATATCACATATAGAGAGAATTTCATGAGAATATGTGCATTACTCCAAATTATGTCTTTTTCTGGCATGTCTGATTTTGGTACCAGCTACTCTATGTAGAAAACAACTTAAATATAATTCTTGTACTCATTTTTCTGACATAACAGTTCCACAAACGTGGGGCGCTGAGCAAAAGGTTTGTAGTAAATTTATGGACGTTGAAACAAGTACTCGTAAAGTTTCATTCGGACCGGTTTGTTGAAGAAAACATTGTGACTATTTTTTTTATGTCGTTGATACTTTATAAATAGCGTACTATACATGAGTACCTGTTTTATTTATTTATTTTCTGGCTGCTGATAAACGCGACGGTTTTTTTTGTTTTGAGACATGCTTACAAGGGTCTCAACACATTTCCCGAAATTTTGCTTTACACACACACACACACAACTAGATACTATCGAATTCACGGTTTGCAAATCAGTAAGCAGCAATTAACAGTGTACACAGTTCCAGGAGATTTTGCTTTGGAAAGCAAATTATTCCGATCTCAATACGTGATCTGCTTGATAATATAAATGGTAATCAAGAAAGCAAGCATATTTTATATAAAACTGCATACTACTGATTGATCCGAATGAGTAGTTGTGTACCACTCATACCAACGAGTTGTGCTTGCTAGCCAGATCGAGGTGATCTAGCACCGGACGAACGTTTTGCTCGTTTGGGACCTAAATTATCATGGCTATACCCGGTTTGACTCATCTCGGAGAGCCCAATCATTTGAAACCACTCAACTGGCTACTTGGTCGAACTGGTCATGCCATAAATAAGTCACATTCGCAGTTTACAATGTACACAGGACGGTCGTCTATTTTTGTGTCAGATGTTAGGAAGTAATCTACATGAATCTGATAGTAATTAAAAACTTTATTTTGACAGAGAAAGAAAGACCAGATTTGCAGTATAAAATGATATCATTCTATTTCACAGGTTCTCATCAGCTGCAAACTACCTGAAATTACAATGGTTATAAATAATAACATTTCATACTTCATTGTTTGAAAGGTAATACAGAAAACATTATCAGGTGAACGCATCCGGAATATAAGTATTATAATCTAAGTAACCATCAATTTATATACTGTCAAACTATGAAAAAAGAAAAAAAGGGGGTGAGAGAAGACAGAAAAAATCTTGTAAACACTGTCAAAATGGAAACTCAAGAAGGTCAAAGTTCATCAATTTGAAAACTTGCTTAGTGAGTTGAGCTCACTAGTGTGTATGACTAATCAGTGCAATGAAAGTGATATGGTTACCAAGGGAGTGAGACATTGACCACACTCTCTTTCTGTATGCATAAGTTTGGTCTGTGACGTTTGATTGCAATTGCTTCACCAGTAAATCGTAGTAGATTCGCTGTCCTTTGTATGTTTAATATTTTGATGTATTCGGAAATCTCGACAAAATGACCCGTATGCACAAAGTGTCTGGTAATTGCACTTTGTAAATATCTGCTTCCTTTTAGGCATAAGTTTCTTGGAATATCCTCTGAAAACTTCTGAATCTGTTTACAGCACTTTGCAAATGAATGTATGTTGTCGCCAAGTCAGTTTTCAAAGATGTTCCACTCACTGAAACACCTTCTGTATAGATAGATACATAGAATACTAACTTCAGTTTTAATGCAAAGATTATTTAACGCATAAAGCCGATATTCTGTATCTTAGGATTAGAGCGGTTTTAGAAAAGTGATAGGATCAACGTGACAATTATGCGCTTATCACTGGTGGACATGCACCTCCCACCTAGGTTAGTTGGGAAGCAGTGACTCAAGCCCATGGTGAGCGGGAAGAAATCCCTAAAGACAGCCATGGGCTTCAGTCTGGGTTTCCGGGCAGTATATCAACCTTCACAAGAAACATAAAACGACAAGCGGATATAAAACACAACTGTCACAGATTACTTCACTTATCATTATTATTTCATTCCTATACTTTCCCAGTGGAACATAGGACCTCAAGCTACAGCTTAGGAGTTTCAGTAGCATTGGTGTTTTTACGGGGTGGAGTTGCTAACCGCATGCCCCCCCTTTACCGGCTTAGTGAGGTTCGGAAGTGCGTCGTCGGCCAGGGGTCGGACGCCGGACCACCTGCGTAGTTGGCGAGCATTCTACTGGTAGACCACCGACTCACTGATTACTTAACTAATGATATGTTTACTCACACGAATCATAATCAGTATATCTTTATTTGTATCATTTTCGTCAACTTTGCTAGTTTTAGAATTTTTACTTTTGTTAGCCTTCCGTTATTGCCTGAATTCCCGATTATTTCAATTCCCTATCTATTAATATCAGTAAAAAGTTTGAGCATTGTGGATTAGATCAAATAAAGTATAATTATATTTCAATAGTTTACACACAATGATAAGTTTTGTTATTGGTAATATTTCGAGCAACACAACTATCAACAACTTGGAATATAATTCTGAATACAAAAGACATGAATAAGGAAAAAAATAATGAACTATATATATATATATATATATATATATATATATATATATATATATATATATATATATATATGAGTACAAATCATAAATGTGAGTGAACAAAACAATTCCAACAGTGGTGTGAACACGGGCAGTAATTTTGCTCGAAATATTACCAATAACAAAACTTATCATTGTGTGTAAACTATTGAAATATAATTATACTTTATTCTCTATCTATTCTTATTGCTATTGGTTGCTTGTTAGTTACTTTTAGAAAGCTCACTTCAGGATATTCTGACACTACATGTGGCATTCGAGCTTGTCACCATTAACCTTCATAGCCTGGTTGCACATTTAAGCTGCGTCTCAGAGACTCACAAAGAAGATCATAGTCATACTCCTCGAATAATTTCACCATCTGCAAGTTCAGACTGTTTATTTTTGTGCCTAATCAATCAAGTTAAAATGGAATAATAATAAAAAAACAGAATAAAGCTATAATGTGCAACTACAAGGTGTAACACTGTTATGAACCTGTCGCCAACTCATACGACCTCTTTAGCAGTTGATATGACCTAGTGGACTTTTGGAACACGTGTGTAGATACCGATCACGCACTGGTCCGGGCTCGTGTGTGCTTACGACTGAACGG